TGACACCAGATGGTTTCTAATGAAAGTGAGTGACTTAATCCCGCAATAAACCTTGGCTGCAGCCAACCCAACTGCCTCCATCCTGAAGAGGATTTTACATGGAGTTTAGAAGGAGGTGATCAATTGAACAAGCTTATCTCTTTTCCTTTGCTTTTCGATAATAGAATGTGGCCTAGGTGCATGCTTTACCTTCTCTGAGAGTAATTTATTCAGCTTTTTTGGAGAGAAGGTTGATCCTGGTTCAATCGTATGTTATCCTTTTCTGACTAGCCCCATTAATACCTGGTTCTAACATGCGTCCTTTGTCCCGATGTTGTCCACATTCTGATTGTGCCTACATTTTTAGACGGGTGTAGACAATCAAAAGACACATTTGTTCTGATTGTGATTAGATCTCCCTGATCACCTCCAGAGGTAGTCGAAGACCCATCGTGTCTGGATGTGTAGACGGATCTGGACAGTGAAACCATTCAAAATCATAATTATATTGCCTTCTAAAATCATTGACAGGTGGCACCATTGATTTATGGCATCAATGTTTCGTAAAATAAGTAACTCAATATTATTTTGTAAGAATATCTGTAAAATAATGTGTATACGGGGAGGGACCAGGAAATCTGGTCACAATGCAGACACAGTGGATGGATGATGTAAGAGACACATGTTTGAAAATGAGGGCACAATCGGAATGTGGACAAGATCAGGACACAGGACGCATGTTAGAACCAGGTATAAACGGTGCTAGAGATTGTGGTCAGCCTAACCCATGTCTTTCATTGACTCAGGACCTAAAAGAAGGGTCGTGCTAAGTCTTCACTATAGGGCATATGTTACAGATCAGAGTGTTGGTATGATGACCACGAGGGATTATAAGATGTACTTATTGTTCATTAACTTGCAGAGAACGTAAATGTTTCTTTATGATCATATGCCAACCCCCTGAGACACACACACCCCAAGGGACTGGAAGCAATAGGTAATCCGCAGTGCAGCGCCCCTGGAGCAATTGTAGGGGGTTTAGTGCCTTGCGCAAAGGCGATGGTATTTAGGATGATCCCGCTTCTCTAACCACTAGGCTACCAGTGGCTGGCTATAGTGCCCCCCTGACCACAGCCTAGACCCTACAGCAATGATGCATCCTATACAAATGTTTGTAAGCTTATAAATGATATAAAACTCAACTGTTTATATTTTCCAGTGATGAAGATATGGATGTCTCATGGTATGGTGGGGTATGCAAAATAGGTCAACTTTGAGCACCTTTATCTCCTGAATGTTTTGGCATTCAGGTCCAAAAAGTCACTTTCTGACCACTTCTTCCATGGGCAAACATGTAAGGAAAGTTTTATTTAAATAAAAAGGGATGCTGTCAAATAGCGATTGAATTCAAATGGATTTACCCACTTACAGGAACAGGCTTATAGCCCATGTAAATAGGCATGTCTTTCTGTCAGCCTTAGTCCCCTTATCATGACAACGTTAATAAGAGCCCTGCTCTTGAAACACTTGAGCCACTCGTATGTGTCGCTAGCTGAAGACAAGGACATGAAGTGTTGGAAGGTTTAAACTGATGTGCTAAGATGACATTATGGATATATTTGGGATCATTGCGAGAATGCAGACATTGTGAACTGACATCTATACAGAGAATGGAACTACTGAGATGCATAGAGTGATGTCGCAAAAGATGTCAAGAACAAGTACTCCCTGTTCTTTTCTCTCATAGCTGCACAGAGAGGAGTATTTTCTCTCTGTTTATTCCCACCATCTAATGAGAATGTAATGTGGTTTCAGCCAATCAGAGCATCCAGGACCGAAACGATCTATTGTATAAATCCCCACAACTATTTGGCCTACTCTCCACAGGCCTGATTCCTATCAAGGCTATGGTCTATGTCAGAGTCCAACATTATCCCGTGTTTGTTTTTCTCATTGACAGTAAGGTTAGGTAGTGATAAGAATAGCCCTTTTATTGTGTGACACTGGCTGCTCCCCTAATGTTGAATGTGCAGCATGCCACACTAAGCCATGTGCATTTGATGGATGACTGAACTGCATTTCCCCCATCACTCATGAGTGCATAGCACAGCAGAGAGTGTGAAGCCACAACAGCCTGCCAGACAGGCTACCAGTAGAGAGAGAGAGAAACTGCGGTAGGCAGTACTAAGGGCTGGATTCAATCCGTAGTGCCGAAGATCAGCCCTGTAGCGTGGTTGACATAAAAATAAAAAAAATCAATAGAGCCGAGATATGCATCGTTTAACATTAATGCAGTCTCCGTGAAAACATTGGCTTTAAATTTCGATCCCGCTATAACGCTGGTCTTCTACGGATTGAATCCAGCCCTTAGTCAACCAGCGTTGCAATGCAGATTAATATAGTTTGGTTTCCCTGGTTAGTGTCTCTAAAATGGACTTAAGCAAAACAAATGTATTTGATAATGGTAGGCCTACGTGTCTGGGAATAGAGATGCGTTTGTGAATAAATGAAGTCAAGTGCATTTGTCAACGAAATCAGGGTTTTTCTTTACTCGGAGGGAAAATAAACAACATGATCACCCAGTGTCACATGCATTCTATCAGACAGTAGATGCGGAGGAACTTGGGAGTCATGGTTGAATAAGAAGGGATGGCTGGATGACACTGTTGGACGATCTAGAAGACATTGCGGAAGAAGAGACCGTGGGCCCTGCTCATGTTGGCCTCGGTCCCCAGACGGTGACCCATCTGCCAGGACGGCTCATAGGTCCCCGGTCCTGGTGTCCTCTGCCAAACAAGACCAACACACACTCACTAAAAACAAGAGCAACACACACTCACTAAAAACAAGAGCAACACACACTCACTAAAAAAAAGCACAGCTAGCTAGGTCTTCACGTATCATTACTGTGGGAGAGAGAATAGCATGCCATAACAAGCTCTAAATATTACGGTTTCTGTAAAAAAAGGGGCTCAATTAACCATCTGAAGTGACACGATGTTTAGGAGAGTGCGACTACTCTCAATGGTTGTGTGTGTGTGTGTGTGTGGTGATGTGTAGAATAAATAAGCCATTTGAATGTAATTTAATTAAATTCTACTTCCTTTAATTCAAATGTAATTCTAATTCTGCTTCCTGTGGGGTGTGGCCAATTCAAATTCAAGAATGGAATTGGAATTAAAGAGCAATTTCCAATGCAATTCAGAAATGACCCCAACCATTTCTGAATTGCATGTGTGTGTGTGTGTGTGCGTGCGCGCGTGTCAGGGTTGGGGTCAATTCAGAATTTCAGAATTGTTTTCATCGGCCACAGCCCACAAGAAGCAGAATTTGAATTGAAGGAAGTAGAATTTAATTCAAAGCAATTCAAATGAGACATGAAACATGAAAGTCTCATTCATTTAACAAATATTTTATCTAAAGGATATGCCACTTATTAATGCAAAGAATACACATACCATTTCAAATATTAGTTTGATTATAACTCAGATGTCAAACAGTATTTTTCTTTGTCCGTTCCATACTATAGTGTTTGATCTAATGCATTCTGGGAAATACAATTTTTCAGATATCTTATCTCAATATCAAATCATTTCTTGGTAACAATTAAGTACCTTACTGTGACTGTTTTCAATTAAAATGATAAAAGAAACAAAAATAGCTTCTTAGAAAATAGCAATTTCTCAAGCAAAATGTGGCTAGGACTGTCTGGGAGTGGTCTGAGTGGGGAGGGGAAACCGCAAACTAGCTGTTTGGAACTCTCTTTCTTATTGGTCTATTAACTAATTTACCACCTGGTGAGGTCACCAGGCAGGCCAAAACTCCATCCCACCAAAACAGGCTGAAATTTCAGGGGGTCTTTTCAAACAGCTTTTACACGAAAAGGGCATTATCAGTGTGTAGAATAAATATAGCCATTTGAATGTCATTTAATTAAATTCTACTTCCTTTAATTCAATTCAAATTCTGCTTCCTGTGGACTGTGGCCAATTCAAATTCAAGAATGGAATTGGAATTAAAGAGCAATTTGCAACGCAATTCAGAATTGACCCCAACCCTGGTGTGTGTGTGTGTGTGCGTGCGTGCATCACTCACCGAGCGCACACTGTGAAGACGGGGCACAGTGGATCTGAAACAGGACGTGACTCCTTTGGTCGGGCCGGTCCTCATGTTGTAATGTCCAGGAGCAGGGCCCTCTCTCTGAACACAAACCATTTGATTCATTATTTACAATAGGCTAACTCACTCACACAGGCAAAGAAAACTGCTCAGAGGGACCAAGGTTAAATGGTTGTCTTGAAGATTATTTACTGGCACGAATCACGATTGTATAAGCATTCAAGGCCAAACGTTGGAAGTTGGATCATTGAGGCAGTTCATATTGTATGGCTATTTATACTTGAACCACAGCATATATAATTTAGTATATTGATTACCCCAGGTTCAAACTATTTTCTTTCAATGGCTTCCAGCTATAATTTTCCCCTGCTGCCCACTAACACACACAGTTGGCCACAAGCAGGAAATAGCACACAGCCTATCCTAGCCCTTCCCGTTCCTGACATAAAACAACTATGTCTCTGACCAAGCTGAGCCAGTAATCCATCCATCCCTTGCCCTCCTGATAGGGTGATTCATAGCACAAAGAATGAGGGAAGAAAATAATAGAAGAGCTCAAAAGAGCTTAGAAAATAAGCCTTTCTCTGTCCCTGAGCAGAGATGCTCAGACTAGCTAGCTATAGCTATCATTATTTGCCATTTGATTGCGCTGGGCAAATTCACTTGATCCCCCCCCCCCCCACCCCCCGCCTGCCGGTGAAGGTGTTAATGAAGGTGTATTTCACAGGAGCTTTTTAGAAAGGACATGGGGGACCGAAGCACACTCGCCTACCCGTGATGAGCTGTCCTGATGATCTGCCTCTGTGCAAGGCGCCTGGCCTACTTTTTGCTGCTGTCAGAGCGAGCGCCACATTCTCCCGGTGTGGCACAGATAACTGGCCCATGCCGCAAATGTCTGCTGAACCTTTGACCTTTCATTAATTATGGGTGTCAGAACGCCATGCCGCAGCGAAGGTCCTCGACACCTCTATTTCCATAGATACACCACGTGTGCATAGTGCAGATACCCCAAGCTGTTCTCTTCGACCACAAAACTTTATCAGAGGCCATGGCCAAACAATACAGATTTTATTTAGATAATCCCAGATAGGCTATTGAGGAAATGTAGGCTCCAAAAATCGTTTGTTCTGAGTTGCATCTGCACAGACACTGCACAGTGCACACAAACAAATATGGGGCACATTTTGGCCCGAGGATTAAGTCAAATCATAATAAAAAAGCAATCCCCCTCTTTGTTGGGTTTGCAATGCCTTAAACCCTGGGGATATTTATATGTGAAAATCAATTTCACATTCTGAGCCTGCAAAGAGAAATCCAATAAAAATCCTCTGTTGCCCATTTCAATAAGTTTGATAGGGACTATCTGGCTGACTATTTACAGTGTAAAACATTGTGTGACCCTTGATCCCCTGATATATGGCGAACCTGCTTCAATTCATCAAGCAGACAGCTGTCTGAATGGCTGTGGCTACAAATATGAATGCCACAAGATTTGTTGAACTGTTTAACCTTTGACAATAAACTTGCTTTGGACTAGCCCTGACACACCACTAGCGGTGAAAAAAGCTCCCTACTACATAGTAATGACACCCTTGAGATTTCCTAACACATTTCCTTCTCTGTTAACGCGAGAGAGCTGCCAACACTGCTCAAATATCCATCAAGTGCGGATGCACTTGCTGCAGCACACACTGCAGCACACACAGTGCAACCGAACTTGAATCATCAATCAACACAGTGCCATAATAGGCATCAAATGCGGTCAGAGATAAATACCGTAACCTCCATAACATACCGTAGGTCTCGAACAGACTCTGTTATGGGTGTCATAACCAAACCAACTGAAACACGCATGCAGCCTTTGTTGGCAACGTAAGGGCATTAGTCATAGCTAGCGGAGACTAGATACTCACAGGCAGAAAGCTGGCACGCTGCACTGCCGAACGAAACATCACGTGTCTGCAAGGAGAGAAGAGAGAGAGGCTGGTTAGAGAGGTGAATAGGTGCTGTAGAGAAGAGGGCAGACAGGAGAGAGAGAGAGAGAGAGAGAGAGAGAGAGAGAGAGAGAGAGAGAGAGAGAGAGAGAGGCCAGACCTGTTGTGTGATACTGGAAATGAGAGATCAGGTTGTTGTTTGCACAGGAAAAAGATATAAAGGGGATGATTCATCTATCAAAGAGATGAATCAGAGGCAGTCTGCTTGCTGTGATTCAAAGGATGATTTGGCAGTGTAAAAATGATAATGATAGATTGTGCAGGACAAGTGCTTACTTGCAGGGTATCTTGGGCACTGGTTTCTCAGTCACATTGTAGTGGCATGGTGAAAGGTCTATTTCCTGGACAAAGATGGAAAATATAAAACGTTCAGGTTATAATGTCAAATAAAACTGCATTATTAGAAGATACATGACTGAGATAACACCCCCTTCTCCGCGCCTCCACATCTCCTCTCCCCCACACCCTCTCCCCTAGTCCCCCTCCTCTGGTCCCCTTGCCATCCTCTCCCCACCTTGTCGCGGATGCCCAGGGTGTAGTTTTTTGGGCGGGGGCAGTTCTTAAAGGAGTAGGAGGCCTGGCGATGGAGGGCCTCCTGGGTGGAGTCAGTGAAGCCATAGGCTCCCGGCAGCAGCAAGTCCCCCTTACGCATTGGCATCTTGGTGTCTCTCCCCGTACCCTTAAAGCCATACGTCATACGGACCGGGTTCAGGCCAGCCTCCTCAATGAAGTCCCGGATGTGGTAACTCCCAGGGATGGGTGTATCCTGGATGGATGCGAATGAAAGGAAAAGGAGATGTAGAAAAAAAAATGTTTTGAAAAAACATGATTTCCCGAATATACGGGAAAAGGAGATTGAGAAGGCATTTTTGGACAGTATCATCTTTAAATGCACTAGATAGAGAGTTTAATCTCATCTTTTAATATTACATAAATTCTACATAATTCCATAATCTTAATAGTAGAACTGTGTGAAGATGCTTGACTGAAACCAACTGTTGTTGTTTTCTCCTCACTGAAAATACCTACTTTCAAAGTACCCATCCACCAGCCACCTCTGTCACACTGGTCCCCTTTCTCAGTGCCCTGTAAATTCAAGAAAGACCAAACAGTAGAAAGGCTTGTTTATGGACTGTATTTTGAGGTATATGTGACAAAATAATACCGACTTAATTTATTTCTGCATTTTAGTGAATACCTATAGCTACTCTGCCCTACCAAGCAAAAAGGCAGTAACTGCCCATTTGGTTGAAAATGAGTTAATGTCATTTTTGCAACATTAAATACATGCTTAAACATGTGGACAAGTATCCTGCCTCTATTGTATTGTGTTTTGGAGAAAATTGGGGTCATATTAGCAGTAACTGCAAAAAGTTACTGTGAAACCTAGGTAAATGGCAGTAACTGAATTGACTGCCTGTCACTGAATTTACTGTATTTTAGCTTGGTTTTAACCTGCCCTTGGCTGCAGTTACTGCCTTTTACCTTGGTATCATATAATTTTATTCCGATAGTAATACAATCAAACCTGTATGACACTGACTGACAGGTACACACACATACATTGCTAATCTATCGACACAACATCATAGCACAGCATTCCCGGGAAGAAATGATGGTTGAACTTGCTCTGAAACGCCGACACTGGTAAGAACTAGCTAGCCAAGTAGATCTGAGAACATAATTAATTAGCTAGATAACTAGCTAGCGAGCATAGACTAACAATGCTACCGGCTCCCATAAGAGGAGATTTGCAATTGATACTAACTTCAATCTATTAGCACTATAATGAATTATATTCTGACATTTCATCTAATGGTTTCTTTGAATCAGTACACCACACACACGATTTGTAGCCAGTGACAGCCACCTAGCTAGAACAGACCAAAATGTAAAAACCTACCTAGCTAGCATTAGCATAAAGCAATAGATTTGTGCTACCTGCTCCCATAAGAGGCAATCAGCAATGTATAATTGCTCATTTATAATGATTGTAATCCCCTATAAATTTATTCTGACATTCCATGGGTTATTTGAATCAGTAACGTTACACCACACACAAGATCTCTAGCCAGCTGACAGTCAGTCAGAGGAGCACCCCATACTGAATTGTCAAAAGCCACGCATGCTCGTTTTCCGGTTGAGCACACACACAGCATTGCTACCTCATTAATAATATATCCTCGAACATGTCCAGGGTTTCTGGTTTTCTTTTATGTTCCAGTATTGAGTGACTGTCCCGGTCAGGAAAGTTAAAATCCAAAATTGTATCCTTCACCGGTGGCGTGTAGTATCTATCGGGATCAAAGTTGCCATGTGAGGGTACAACCACGTCAATACTAGGTTTTATTCCCGTCAATGTCCGTCCATGCAATAGGGCTATAAGTGTTGTTTATTTTTTATTTAACTAGGCAAGTCAGTTAAGAACAAATTGTTATTTACAATGATGGCCTACACCGGCCAAACCCGGTCCAATTGTGCGCTGCCCTATGGGACTCCCAATCACGGCCGGTTGTGATACAGTCTGGAATCGAACCAGGGGGTCTGTAGTACCGCCTCGAGCACTGAGATACAGTGCCTTAGACTGCTGCGCCACTCAGCTATGTCCTATGATGCCTGCAAATCGAAGGCACTTCTGGAATGCGTTGGCTGTGAACAGCATTGCTGAGGATGAGGAGTGATATGGAAGAGCACTGAAGAAGGTTTACTTAAAAATGAAATGAAAATCATACTTAAAAAATGAAATGTAACCATTCAGCATTTTAGCTAACTGTCATTTGTGGCCTCTTATGAATATGAACATGTAAATATGTTTAAAATTCATTCATAAAGCTGTTATTTCTTCAAAATGATATATGTAAGTGTCATAAAATAAAATACAAATACAAATAATTTAATTTGCAATCTCATGGTATTTTTGTATAATTAGTATTACCCTATGTCATACTTTTATCATGCTCCAATTCATCATGATATATTACAAGATAGGTAATAATTTAATGTAATTCAAACAATTGCAGTGCTGCTTTCACATTTATTCTTATAACAAGACATGGGCTACTTGTAAAACACAGTATGTAATGTGACTGACGCAGAACCTACATCTCCATGTAAATGCAACTGGTTTCTTAGTGGAAGACACACAAAGGATGCAGTTTCAACTTTGTTACACTGTCAGTAATTACACTACTCTTTTATTAAAAGCATAAAGGAGAAGTAATTTGTAAGTCGCTCTGGATAAGAGCGTCTGCTAAATGACGTAAATGTAAATGTAAGTATAGTAAACGAACAAATGAAAATGGCAGATACTGCTCTTTGCTTTGGTATTACCCTGCAATTTGTAACATATCATGCCAGGAAAGAAGGCAGTAACTGCCGTTTAAGGGTCAAAGGTCATGTCAAAGGTCAGGGCCAACATTAATTAAAAATTAACTCATAGTAAGACAACCGATCACTACACCTCCAATGATCTCCCTAGAATTAATTTGGCTGCACAATTAAAACACTTTGAAGCCATTTTTCTCAGTTCCACACTATGAGCAGTTACTGCCTTTTTGCTTGGTAGGGCAGTACTGTATTTCTTTGCCAAGAGACTGAATCCAACTTCAGTGTACAGTCATAATATCCTATGACTGCCAACTCCTCCTGAGTGCAAAGATGATAACACTTCACAGCCTATTTCTGCTCTCAACGAACCTCATTTTTCATCACATAATACACTATCTCTATAAAGATCAAAAATAACACTGAATAGTGTCAAGCTTACCGTCTCCTCTGTCCTGCATGATGCATCATCGTGGGATATGTCACTAACTTTGGAAATATTTTTTCCTACGATCATTGTTTTCCCAGTACCGTGTGTACGCACTTCACCGTCTGCTGTTTGTTCAACAGAGATACAGTTACAGCTTCTCAGACCGTGACTGTTACTAGTAGCAGCTCCACCAACAATCAATTTTTCAACAAGCTGACACTGTGCGATGCAGCTGACAGTGTGACCCAGGTCGAAATTTAAGATGTTGATTATGACACAAATTAATATTGTCATAGTTACTGTGACAGTGTTTCCTTTGTAACGTCACACAGGCCTACTGCACAACCAGGTAATAATGTGTCATAAATGGTTTTCTAGTGGCATGTCACAATAGGATAATATATTATGGTGCGACAATCATCTTTAGGCTACTTTTTGGTAGGTTAGCTGTAATCCCATCTGGATCTTTAAATAAGTGTGAATAACTGAGTTCAGACAGGCAGACCAATTCTGATTGTTCTTTTCACTCATTGATATTTTGACCAATCAGATCAGCTCTGAAAAAGATCTGATGTGAAAAGATCTGATGTGATTGGTCAAAAGACCAATTAGTGAAAAACAGATTAGAATTGTGCTGCCTGTCTAAACGCAGCCACAGATTATCAGTGAGAGTGAGAGCTAAGCAGCTATTACTAGATGCATAGCACACTTCTACCCAACAAACTTGGGAGGTCATATAGACACATCATGTATGTATTAAAACCCTTCATAAAATAAAGTTAGTAGTTCTTATTTGATATTGGGCTCCTGAGTGGTGCAGCGGTCTAAGGCACTGCATCTCAGTGCTTGAGGTGTCACTACAGACCCCCTGGTTCGATTCCAGGCTGTATCACAACCGGCCGTGATTGGGAGTCCCATAGGGAAGCGCACAATTGGCCCAGTGTCGTCCGGGTTTGGCCGGTGTAAGAATTTGTTCTTAACTGACTTGCTTAGTTAAATAAAGGTTTATTTTTTTAAATAATTTTTTTTGTATCAGATGTCTTCTAAGAGGGTTATGGCCATGTTGAATAACTCAAGGGGCCCCTTTATTGTGAGCACTTGTCTCTAGTGGCCTAGTCCAAACTCTCTTCCCATACAGCTGAGTGATATGCAGTGTAAGTGCTGTGCAACACACTATGAACCAGAACTAAAAAACATCATCTAGACTGGAGAGCCTGCTAAGATCTTTGTGGGAACAGTAGCAGAATGTTCTGCCCTGTTGCTAAGCTACATGGAACATATGATTCCAAGTAGCCAGGAATTCATGTTTACACTCTGCTTGTTAAGGGAGACTCATGTCATGTTCCAAGTTTCATGTTTTTAATGACACATGCACAAGTACAGTGAAATGCTTTTATTGCAAGCTCTAACCCCAACAATGCAGTAATCAATAACAATGTAATACAAAAAATAACAAGGTAGAACAAAAACACACAATATATAAAAATAAGAAATAATAAGAACACAATAAAGTAAGTAAGCATACTATATACAGGGATAGTTCCAGTACCATATTTACAATGTGCAGGGATACTGGATCGATAGAGGTAGATATGTATAGGGGTAAGGTGACTAGGTATCAAGATATATGATCAACAGAGTAGCAGTAGCATATATGATGATTGTATGTGAGTGGGTGTGTGTAGAGTAAGTATAAATGTATGTGCATTTTATGTGTGTGTGAGCAAATGATGGAGTGAGTGTTAGTATGTGTGTTGGAGTATCAGTGTGCATAGTGTGTAGGCCCCTTTGAGTGTGCATAGATGTAATCAGTGTGAAATGGCTAGCCAGTTAGTGGTGTGCGCTAGTAGCGTTTCAATTGGTGACGTCACTCGCTCTGAGACCTTGAAGTAGTTGTTTCCCTTGCTCTGCAAGGACCGTGGCTTTTGTGGGGCGACTGTTGTCACTGGGGCGATGAGAGGGACGGAAGCAACACTGTTACATAGAGACAGTGCAAAAATAAGAATAACTCAGATAGTCCGTGTAGCTATTTAGCAGTCTTATGGCATGGGGATAGAAGCTGTTCAGGAGCCTGTTGGTGTCAGACTTGATACACCGGTACCGCTTGCCGTCCGGTAGCAGAGAGAACAGTCTATGGCTTGGGTGGTTGGAGTCTTTGATAATTTTTAGGGCCTTCCTCTGACACCGCCTAGTATAGAGGTCCTGGATGGCAGGAAGCTTGGCCCCAGTGATGTACTGGGCAGCTAGCTAGCACTGCAGTGTATAACATGTGGTGAGTAGTTGACTCAAAGAGAGAGAAAGACAATAGTTGAACAATTTTGAACAAATGAATTTCTTCCAAAATGAAGGAGAAGCAAGAGATAAATAGAGAGAGAGAGAGATTTGTTAGAAATTGCGTAATTCAAATCTGGTATTGGAGTAAGAGAAAACATAATCAAGAGATATTCAATCCAAGCTAAATGTATTATATGCAAAATGTATGTATGATAAGTATGTTGGTTCGTATACGGGCTCACTGAAATACCACGCAGGGCAGACAGAGAACTGATCCATTGTTACAGGTTCTTCTTCAAATACTCTGACAGAGATAGTTCCCACTCCCTGCTGGCCAATCAGAGTAGAGACTGAGCGTGGTTTAGACTTACTCAGCCAATCCGTTGGCGCACCGGCTGGTCCCAGACCCTTGGCGCTCCACTGTTGCACACTGTTGCCAGGCATAAGTTGTTATCATAACAACCTGTAGAGTCATCACCCATAGACACCGTTCCACTCTACCTTAAGTTCAAGGACGGTTCACAGACAACGGTTCACAGACAACAAAGAGGCAGTGTTTGTATCTGTAAGAAATACAAGTCTTATCTGTAAGAAATACAAGTCTTATCTCATCCTAGCCCCTAACGTTCCTCACATGAATCATCAATAAATGTCACTAGAAAACAGCTAAAACAAATGCAAATGCAGCTACTGTTGTTATTCTGTCTGCACTGTTTGATGTGACTGTAAGTTAGCCGTAGTTGGCTAGCTAGCAAGCAAGGGATAAGAACGTTGCCTGCCAGTATGGCAATGGAACATTTAGAACGCACATCAAATTTGTCTCTCAACCTGTGTGCACCTACGTTGTAAACTTTCATTCATAGGCTAGGTTGTAGCAACCTAATGATGAGTATAGGGAAAATTCGAGTATCAGGTAGTAGCCTAAACCTATCGCTGTTACATTGAACTGGGTGAATGGAATATGAATGAGAGTCATCCAATATGCTGTAATAGAAATAAGGCCATGCTAAAAAAAAAGGTCCTCCCTCATCTTAAACGGCACTGACCGCCACTGCCAGTGATGTACTGGGCTGTCTGCACCACCCTCTGTAGCGCCATGCGATCGAGGGCGGTGCTATTGCCATACCAAGCGGTGATGCAGCCAGTCAAGATGCTCTCAATGGTACAGCTGTAGAACTTCACGACTCTGCGCATGTGTGTGGACCATTTTAAGTTATTAGTGATTTGGACCCAGATGAACTTGAAGCTCTCAACCAGCTCCACTGCAGCCCCTTCGATGTGGATGATGGTGTTGTAGTCGTGGGTGAACAGGGAGTACAGGAGGGGACTAAACACACACCACTGTGGGGCCCCCCTGTTGAGGGTCAGTGTGCCGGAGGTGATGTTGCCTACCCTCACCACCTGGGGTCGGCCCGTCAGAAAGTCCAGGATCCAGTTGCAGAGGGAAGTGTTCAGTCCCAGGGTCCTAAGCTTGGTGACGAACTTGGAGGGGACAATGGTGTTGAACGCTGAGCTGTAGCCAATGAACAGCATTCTCATATAGGTATTCCTCTTATCTAGGTGTGTGAGGGCAGTGTGGAGTGCAATTGAGATTGCGTTGTCTATGGATCTGTTTGGGCGGTATGCAAATTGGAGTGGGTTTAGGGTGTCTGGGATGATATAGTTGGTGTGTGCCATAACCAGCCTCTCAAAGCACTTATGGATGTGAGTGCTACAGTCATTGTGACATGAAGCCTTAGAGTTCTTGGGAACTGGAATGATGGTGGTTATTTTAAAACGTGGGGATTACAGACTGGGACAAGGAGAGGCAAAACAATTATGTGAATATACCTGCCAGACGTTCTGCGCATGCTCTGAGAACGCACCCTGGAATACCATTGGGGCCTGCGGCATTGGCGGTCGGTGACGTTTAAAGATGAGGGAGGATTTATTCTTTATTTTTTATGAGCACAGCCTTATTTCTATTATAGCATATTGGATGACTGTCATTCATATTCCATTCACCCAACTCAATGTAACATCGATAGGTTTAGGCTACTACATGATTCTAAAATGTTCCACATCTAGGGTGTAATCTTTGGTCCAACAGTTGCAAATGAGAGTTTCAATTGGAGAAATTCAGGTATGTTTATCCCCGTTTCGTTTGCTTCCGTTTAATGATAATTTTTTTACAGAATCGGCGGAGTGAATACACCGCTGATCACACGCAAACACAGTTCACTTACAAACAGCATGATCACTTTGCTCGTTAAATATAGAATTCGCAACTATCTGTGCGCTCTCCTCTCACCCTTTCCCTTCGATTGTGGACTTCAGTGCACAACACATCAGCTGTCTGTGACCAAGTGAAAAAACCTTTCCAAACCTTAATATCATGACAGTCAAACACAGCCTACATTGTTGTCACGTCAGTCAACATACTAGAACTAACGCGTTAGTAAACCCGCTACAATCATGCAGTACAGTATACGATCAGAAAGCAGTTTAGCAGTTACACCGGCCGGCCCCGGTGAATTAGTAAAACCAAAAGCTTACCTTGACTTGGAAGAGTTCCAGCGCTGGATAGCCATAGCCAGCTAGCTAACACAGCATCCCTCTATGTTTGAGCAGGGTGTTTGAGTAGGCTAAACTAGATAGCTGCATTCACTAGCTAAATGAAAGTTACAACAACAACAAAATACAACCAAACTCTCTCTCGCTTCTCTTTAATTTTGGAATAAATTAATTTCTTCAGAACTGTTCAACTACTGCCTTTCTCTTTGAGTCAACTACTCACATTTTATGCACTGCAGTGCTAGCTAATTTATGCTTTCAGTACTAGATTAATTCTCTGATCCTTTGATTAGGTGGACAACAATTCAGTTCATGCTGCAAGAGCTCTGATAGGTTGGAGGACGTCCTCCTGAAGTTGTCATAATTACTGTCTAAGTCTATGGAAGGGGGTGAGAACCATGAACCTACTAGGTTTTGTATTGAAGTCAATGCACTCGGAGGACAGAAGCTTGCTGTCCTCTGGCTAGACCACCTTTATTGCAAAACAGTGTGTTTTAATCAATTATTTGGTGACTTTAATATATTTAGTATAGTATTATCTAAAAAGGGTAACTTTTTATGTAATTCACTGAGGATGGTCCTCCCCTTCCTCCGAGGAGCCGCCACTGGCCCGCGGCCTTGCGGGTATTGACCTGTAAAAGACTTTACTCCCGTCAGCCTCGGACAGCAAGACCACCCAATCTTCTGGGTAGGTGGCGGCCCTCACACCCGGCACAATGTTATTGTCATGTGACAGAGTTGCTAAAAAAGGAACCCACACGATCCAGTGTTTAATATTGTCAAATCTGTCACGAGACCTTTTACAGATTTGCATAACTCATTACATTCTGTGTATAATGAAAGTCACACGTTCAACACCTTACTGAGAAGGAAAAACAAGTTTGATAATTACTTGTAGAGCTGTTCTCACCATATACTAGCCTCTCAGGTGAGAAACAGTTCTGATGAGCAACACATGCACAGGTGTCAAATGCATGTTTGTGCACTTGATTTGTCAAGTACACACGTTGGCCATAATACATGGGGGTTCATCAAAAGTATGTTATTGTAAATAATCCTATTGCCTTGCTGCCTTTCAAGCAAAGAGCCACCTTTCTAGGCAAAGTGATGTATGGTACTTCCTGATTGACTATTAATAGTTAGAAATTCAGTAAGTCACCATGCAGGGTGACAGAGGCTCAAGAAGCACAGGTGAGTTCCACAATAAAGAGCTTTATTTCATCTTCAAACTTAGCATCTCTGCAAATTAACAAATTCAACATTTACCTAACAAATGGGCACGGTTCTATTTACATCCTTGGTGTTCTGACATTACCTGCAATTCAGGCAACTCGTGATGAAGACTTGTGCCAATTAAGACACGAGGCAGTCAGCTTCTGCCTGGTACCGAGCCAATATAATCAGACAATGCAACCGTTTAGCAAAAGATCCAGACAGTAAATTGATAATCTAATGGAGAGTACCATTAAAAACGAAATCCTTTGATCTCATTAAGTCCTTTTATTTTTAAAGGACTACAAATTTGATCAGAGCTTAGCTGAATGTTAAGAGGCATTGGCTGATGCACATATTCAGTGCTCGTGAAATTTACATGTCACTTGAGTAAATGCTAAACATCTTTCATGTCAATTTCTATGCAAAAATAGCATTTTTGTATTATTATATCAAAACAAGCATCTTTCCTTGATACAAAAAGTTTACTATTACAAACGCCACAATCCATTACGGCTGAGAAAAGACCATTTTAAAACCTGGGTAAATTGTAAATTTTATTGGAAAACAAAAATATACAACTTGGAATGGATTATTTGAAGCATGGCCAAAGGCCATAAAAAAGGAGTAAAACATTAAAAAGCATAGTAAGATTAAAACAAAGTTGTTTTCTGGTAAAGAACAGCAGATACAAAAAGAGTTTACGTGTACCTAGAAGATACAATAGTTTTGAAAACATTTTCTTTGCAGTAGTGCAATGCTGAGAGACTTCCATATATACTTTGTCCGTAGTCCATGCAGAGTTACTCCTCTACACCATTTCCATGCCAACATAGTTGCCAAGTGACAACCAGCTGACAGGTCGCCAACGTCGTCACTTGTCCGGGACGGCGCCGACATGACGTGAAGATTCTAAGCGCTCTCCAACCCCTGGGGCTGCGACGGGCACCCGTTAGTACAACTCCAAAACATGATGGTAGCAAAAAAAAGGGACATGGGGACTCAGCCTATGCAGTTTACATGCAGTTCCTTTGGACAGCAGGGAGGGGGATATTAAGATTTTACAGATTAATTCCACAGAAAAAAAAGGCAAGTTATTTATATAAGAAACATCTGTACAAGGCCTTCACTTCGCCGTCATCATTTGTACGAACTCTGCAAGGGAGAGAAAAATAAATACAGCAATGTTACTCTCCCAATGTCCTAAAGTTGTAGGTTCTTGGATCTGTTTAATTAATATTTTGTACCAACCTTCATAGTTGACCTGGCCATCTCCATCAATGTCTGCTTCTCTGATCATCTCATCAACTTCCTCATCGGTCAGCTTCTCCCCAAGGTTTGTCATCACATGGCGCAGCTCAGCAGCACTGATGTAACCGTTCCCATCCTAGAGCAGCGCACACGTCAGTTAAAGAGCACTACCCTGCACCCAAACTTTGTCAGGATGAATCTAGATGGGAGTGTTACCTTGTCAAAGACACGGAATGCTTCTCTGATCTCCTCCTCGCTGTCTGTGTCCTTCATCTTCCTCGCCATCATTGTCAGGAACTCCGGGAAGTCTATCGTTCCATTACCTGGAAAGAGAAACATGTTTAAGGCATATCTTCAGTGTGTGTAGTGTCATAAGAGGAAGTGTTGTGTCAGAGCTGGCTCCTCACCATCAGCGTCCACCTCGTTGATCATGTCCTGCAGCTCAGCCTCTGTGGGGTTCTGGCCCAGAGAGCGCATCACAGTGCCCAGCTCTTTGGTGGTGATGGTGCCGTCACCATCCTTGTCAAAGAGCGAGAAAGCCTCTTTGAACTCTGCAGAGAGATAGAAACAAACAGTGAGGGCTTCCTCTTGAACTGCCAATGGGGGAAGTGACACCTCCGATACAGGAACCACACAATGGACAGTCCCAAAAAGGTGTTACACAATTACCTGGACATTACCAGAAAAAAAGTTCTAAATAAATCCTTACAAAACGTAAATATCAAATCACTGACAATGCTCTGCATCAATACACCCCACCCTAAACCCTAGCCTGCCATTCACATTCCTTGTGCTCAGATGCCAGCAACACCCAAAACGTACTACATCACTCAAGTTCCAAATGACAAACCAGCTAGCTGCATTACCATAAGCGTTTGGGTGTTCCAACACCAACTGCCCCGTTTGTTTATACACAAATAAAAAGGACAAACAGCATGAACAGCAGGGCAAAGTCAGGGCAGGAAGTAGAATGAATGACAAGCTGTTTGCCAGGAGCCTGGTTGAGCAGTCGTGGCATGCAGCAGCTTGTCAGCATCGTGAATACCAAGACATGGCCTGCGGTTGAAGGTCCTTTGATAGGGGAAAATCCTTTGTTGCAGGGGTACTGTGTAATAAATATACCTTCTGCCAGTGTTAAGAAACCCTTACAGGTCTACAAACAAAAACACAGTAATTGCCTCCACTATACCCGACAAAAAAAACGCAGTTAACCTTCGAAATACTCTGTACAAGACAGTATCTCAGGGGACACTTGCCTACAAATGACACATTTTCAAACCATCTAGATAAGCAGCATGTCATCAGCAAACACCATCAACCAGGATTTAGACGTTGAAAGCTTACACCAATAGGGATGTTAACGGTTAAATCGATTAGCCGCAGAAAATACATTTGACTGGGCATGCTTATCAGTCTATAGGTTAATTCGCATAATTTTGTGGAATTAAATTGGCACCTGTGTATTTGTTATGCGTCATGCATTTTATTTACCACACGCGAACAGCATACAGAGCGGAATAGCCTACCACCTGGCAGACAGCGCAAGAGTAGCTCCTCAAAACGCCTGTAGGCTACTGGACTGAAACCTGCCTTTGCAAGGCCAGTCATTGCGCAACAAATAACAATACTAAACGCTATCACGTGGTAAAAAGTTGTTGGCACTATCAAATTATTATTTTTACTTCTCAATTCATTAAGCGCACCTCCCATTCAAATGAATAGGCTAAAGCCTGCCTACCATTGACTATCAGCATGTTACCCACCATTTTGCAACGTCAGCTTGCGGCAGTATAACAGCTTGAAACCTGAACATTTTACTTCAAATAATTAGGCATGTCTTACCTTGCGAAAATCCATCCATAGAAACAGAGGCAATTTTATAAAGACTTCCTCATGCCATTAACCAGCATTTCTATCCTGTTCTATTGGTTTTCATATCAACTTACCTAGTCATCTTAGTAACCCATCATAGTAGTTGTTTTTAGAGTACCCCTCTAAGTCAGTAACAGAGATTTTCATTTGTCATATTTACATTTTAGTCATTTAGCAGACGCTCTTATCCAGAGCGACTTACAGTTAGAGTGCATACATTATTTTTATACTGGCCCCCGTGGGAATCGAACCCACAACCCTGGCGTTGCAAACGCCATGCTCTACCAACTGAGCTACATCCCTGCCGGCCATTCCCTCCCCTACTCTGGACGACGCTCTGCCAATTGTGCGCCGGCCCATGTGTCTCCCGGTCGCGGCCGGCTACGACAGAGCCTGGATTCGAACCAGGATCTCTAATGGCACAGCTAGCACTGCAAAGCAGTGCCTTAGACCACTGTGCCACTCGGGAGACTATATATAGGGAACTGCTGGCATTAGGGGCACTGTTTAGAACAGTTTTCCACAAAAAGCATTTTGGCAAATGTTTGAAAATGACGTTTTATTAGGCTACTGCCTTTTGACTGCAATTAAGCGCTTAATTAAAAATGTCCGGTCCTTGTATGCATGCACAGTATCAGAGAAGGAGAGGCGAAGCGATAGGTTTCACTCCACAAAATAAGTCCAATAACTTTCTATGAGCTTATTTTGGGCCTAAGCTTGTCGCCTGCCTTCCCGCTTTGGGACGACTCCCATTGTTAAGGCAAAAATATAAGCATCTTGACATTATATACAGATCTGATAGTATTTTCTGTTGATCAAGTAATTTAACCGTTAGGGGAAAATGTAGCTGTTTGTTGACCAGTTAATGAGGGTCAGTTAATCAGCAGAAATTGACCGAAATGTGCATCCCTATACGCTATAAAATAAACCTCAACAGTCAGCATTTTCTGAAAGCTGAAGTCCAAATCAACAGGTGTCATGTCAACTTAAGCAGCTACATGGACTTCAACACCACTCAACAGAGTCATGACATCCCCATGATTTAAGCTGTCCTGTAGGGGAGCCACGACAGGGAAATCCCTCAGAAGACCACTTATGAGCTTTCAAGTTTCTCCATACCAGCATTGGTAACAATTATTTTTTTTCTGGAGAAAAGGACATCAATTCCTTTGCATACACTGGTTCGTGTTCAGACTCAAGATTCTGAATGAACATAGCCCCACTTTGATTGTTAGCATTCCTGCCGTGAACTAGCTAGCTGCATTCCATCCAACAGTGAGAGGACACACCCAGGTCAAAGGCTGCCGCCAGCAGTCTGGCAGTTGATCAAGGCATGGGACCTTATGATCACTTTCTGATTAGATAATTTATGAGGTGAAAACATAAAAATGCAAAGTGTGTTGCTTTCCATGAGTGAGTGCTGTAGACTAGGGTTTAAAGCCTGCCCATTCATTCTTGTGTTTTATGACCAGCTTGTCCAACGAAAGCCTTAAAAGGCAAAAATATAAATCCAATGCAGGGTAGGTGGGGGGAGCCACAGTGGGCCACGTGTCAGGGCAGGGGCCAGAAGAGTACAATGCTGTCTTACCGGCAATCTGCTCTTCTGTTAGCTGATCAGCCTGGGGGGGGAAAAGGAGAGGGAATTTAAAACTGGGCCACATGTGAAGTAGCTAACCGACTACTTGACTACTGAGGTCAACCTTCACGTTAGCTCTCTGGGAATCCATTATCAACTGGCCATCTACGAAGTACAGTTAACTAGCTTGGGAACTTATCCTGTAGTTCTATGTATAGTCACATTAGCCAACAGTCAGAAATGCATATAGCTACTGCTAGCTATGAAGCTAGCGTTAGTTAGCTCGTAGCTAACTAATTTACCCATCCAGCGTACTACTAGATGCCAGAAGCAACCTTCAACCATAGATAAACGTTAGCATAATCTATACTTCAACCCTTGAGTGGCTAGGTTAGTAGTTGTTAGCCGACACGCTATGAACAATTCTGGAAACAGGGTAAAATCCTCTAGTTTCTTTGCTGACTTGCTAGAGAGCATCGCTAAGACTAACGTTAACAGTAACGTCATTATCTAGCTACAGTAATTTGCCAAGCCAACCGCAAATTGGCGGTAATCTTTGCTAAATTAGCTAACGTTACGTATTGCCAGTAAACTGGTTTCTAATCAGTTAGCTAACTGATCTAACAAGCTACCAACATTGTACAGTCACTACCACAGTTTGTATAATACTGCAAGAGATTAGACATTTTAAGTAACCGACTCTACGACGCGGGTAGGAAACAAGGTTCGCCTACTCAAACACAGCATGCCTGTCAAGACATAGTAGAAATGTCAAGCAACCACTCATTTGTCGAGAAAAATACGGAAGGATAAATGCTGAAACATAAAGGAGAAAAACCTGAATTTGCTTGACTTACCATTGCGATATACCTTGTAGCAGCAGGATGTAACTAAACTTTCAACCTCACGGAACGCACTGTCTAGCAGACAGTTTGACGTGCATTTAACGGTTGTTATTTAACTCCTCCCCCATTTGCTATCCCTCCGCCAAATTCGTTTCTCGTCATTTACTTAATTAGTACAGTCACGCATTTATTAACATTCAAAAATCGTATGAAATGTAAAATTACCTCAACTCTGTAAATATTTCCCCGACATTAATTTATATCCCATATTTAAACAAAAAAGTGCCTGTAGCAGATTGGACTAGCTAACTGCGCATGTATACTTTCTGCTAGTCAGTGAAAAAGTACAAGGCGTAGTTGGATGAAATAGCTATCTCTGATTGGTGTGTTTGTACCTGCAATGCGTCACTCGTTGGACTTGGGCTGCGGCTGCATTGTAGTCCACACAGACATGGAATTGCCACAGGCACGGCATAGAAGACGTAGCTAGCAGTCTGTAGTGTAGGAATGATATCCTAGATACGTAAGGCTGTAGATGGAAGTGACATGCATTCCGTTTTAGAGAGCTGCTCATTATAGTATACATTACACAAACTCCATGATCCACATTTTGTGGTGGGGACCGTTTTCAAAAAAGGTAGTGCCACAGCTTTCAGAATCAACACATTTTATTATATTTTATTACATCTCCAATTCAATGAAACATGTTGGGAAAGAGATTCTAGACCAGGGGTGTCAAACTCTTTTTGCCCCAGGAGGCCGCATTAGGTCTTCAACGAGGTCTAGAGGGTCGCACTGAAAATTGGTTATATTTCCTCGCTGTCAAAATCCCTAACATAACCCCACCAAGCCAAACATAACTGACTCCAACCACACATGACCATCTTTTCCTCTTTTTATATTTTATTTAGTTTTCACTATTTATCCAACATCACTTCTATTTTAGATAGGCTACTACCTATCTTTAATTTACATACTTTACATTTATTTAGGGCCTACGACTTACTATAAATATCTTAAACATGCTTTTTATCCCTTTAGCACTAAACTGTATGATAATTAATATAACTAACCCTGCTCCCTATTTACCACCCTTACCCTAATACGGGTTGTTATCCTCTAAACCTACCCCCGCCCGTTACCCTAATACGGGTTGTTATCCTCTAAACCTACCCCCGCTCGTTACCCTAATACGGGTTGTTATCCTCTAAACCTACCCCCGCCCGTTACCCTAATATGGGTTGTTATCCTCTAAACCTACCCCCGCCCGTTACCCTAATACGGGTTGTTATCCTCTAAACCTACCCCCGCTCGTTACCCTAATACGGGTTGTTATCCTCTAAACCTACCCCCGCCCGTTACCCTAATACGGGTTGTTATCCTCTAAACCTACCCCTGCTCGTTACCCTAATACGGGTTGTTATCCTCTAAACCTATCCCCGCCCGTTACCCTAATCTGGTCCTTATCGTCTCCCCCACCCCTCCCTATTCATCAAAAATTATTTACTTTATTATCATCTATTATCTTATCTAATTTCTTAGTTATCTCTTTTATCTTTTAACCTAATAAAGTTTGTTAAAAATACAATCCTATCGGGAAATCACATTAGTTGAACACATACAGGGAAACTACTTGACTCTAGAGCAGTGGTTCCCAACCAGGGGTACTAGGAGGACCCCTAGGGGTACTATCCACAGGGGGTACTTGAGAAGACTCACGAGACCACAGGCCTACTGGCATAATGCACATGAGTGGGTACTTCAGGGGTACTCCGGGCAGAGCAAAATTCAGTTGGTGGTACAGTAACCGAAAAAGGTTGGGAACCAATGCCCTAGAGCACCTTTAAAATCACATTTTAAACCACATTTAAGCAGAGACATGCCTTGATCTAACCATGCCCTCCCTCCTTGATCCTTGCATCTTCCTCCCACCCAAGAGAACTACATATATATGGACAGAAAAGAGCAGCTCTGCTGTCCCATCAGGCCAAGTTAGTCTTAGTCTTAGCTGTAACAATGTGCAAAAAATAGTCCTCTATCCATCGTTTTTAGAATTTTCGATGCTCCCTGACTGTCTAGCTTACATTTAGGTGATTAATAGCAAGCTGGAAACTGTATGAATGTAGGTCCATTATCATTTCTACACAGTTTCGATTTGGTTTGAGTCATTTTCAAGTATATTGAGTTTGTCCCCCCCCCCCCCCCCCCCCCCCAAATAAAATAAAATAAAATACATTTAATTATATATACAGTGCCTTCGGAAAGTATTCAGACCCCTTGACTTTTTCCACATTTTGTTAACTTACAGCCTTATTCTAAAATTGATTTAAAAAAAAAATCCCCTCATCAATCTACACACAATATCCCATAATGACAAAGCTTTTTAGAAATGTTTCCTAATTTATTACAAGTAAAAAATTTAAATATCACTCAGTACTTTGTTGAAGCACCTTTGGCAGCGATTATAGCCTTGAGTCTTCTTGGGTATGACGCTACAAGCTTGGCACACCTGTATTTGGGAAGTTTCTCCCATTCTTTTCTGCAGATCCTCTCAAGCGCTGTCAGGTTGGATGGGGAGCGTCACTGCACAGCTATTTTCAGGTCTCTCCAGAGATGTTGGATCGGGTTCAAGTCCGGGCTCTGGCTGGGCCACTCAAGGAAATTCAGAGACTTGTCCCGAATCCACTCCTGCGTTGTCTAGGCTGTGTTCTTAGGGTCGTTGTCCTGTTGGAAGGTGAACCTTCGCCCCAGTCTGAGGTCCTGAGCGCTCTGGAGCAGGTTTTCATCAAGGATCTCTCTGTACTTTGCTCCGTTCATCTTTCCCTCGATCCTGACTAGTCTTCCCTGCCGCTGAAAAACATCCCCACAGCAAGATGCTGCCACCACCATGCTTCACCGTAGGGATGTTGCCAGGTTTCCACCAGACGTGACGCTTGGCATTCAGGCCAAAGAGTTCAATCTTGGTTTCATCAGACCAGATAATCTTGTTTCTCATGGTCTGAGAGTCCTTTAGGTGCCTTTTGGCAAACTCCAAGCGGGCTGTCATGTGCCTACTACTGAGAAGTGGCTTCCATCTGGCCACTCTACCATAAAGGCCTGATTGATGGAGTGCTGCAGAGATGGTTGTCCTTCTTGAAGGTTCTCCCATTTCCACAGAGGAACTCTGGAGCTCTGTCAGAGTGACCATCAGGTTCTTGGTTACCTCCCTGCCAAGGCCCTTCTCCCCCGATTGCTCAGTTTGGCCGGGTGGCCAGCTCAAGGAAGAGTCTTGGTGGTTCCAAACTTCTTCAATTTAAGAATGATGGAGGCCATTGTGTTCTTGAGGACCTTCAATGCTGCAGACATTTTTTGGTACCCTTCCCCAGATCTGTGCCTCGACACAATCTTGTCTCGGAGCTCTACGGACAATTCCTTCGACCTCATGGCTTGGTTTTTGCTCTTTTTTTTTTTTTTTTTGTGTACTGAGTGATATTTCAATTTTTGCTCTGACATGCACTGTCAACTGTGGGACCTTATATAGAGACGTGTGTGTCCAATCAATTGAATTGACCACAGGTGGACTCAAATCAAGTTGTAGAAACATCTCAAGGATGATCAATGGAAACAGGATGCACATGAGCTCAATTTCGAGTCTCATAGCAAAGGGTAAGGTATTTTATTTTTAATAGATTTACTAACATTTCTAAAAACCAGTTTTCGCTTTGTCATTATGGAGTATTGTGTGTAGATTGATGAGGAAATGTTTTTATTTAATTAATTTTAGAATCAGGCTGTAACGTAACAAAATGTGGAAAAAGTCAAGGGGTCTGAATACTTTCCGAATGCATTGTATAGAGTTATAATTCTTTTTTTACTCAAACCACCCGCGGATCCGGCCCGCAGGCCATATAGTTGACACCCCTGTTCTAGACACTAGATGAGATAATAGGTCAGACATTTACATTTTAGTCATTTTAGCAGACGCTCTTATCCAGAGCGACTTACAGTTAGTGAGTGCATACATTTTTTTCATACTGGCCCCTCGTGGGAAACGAACCCACAACCCTGGCGTTGCAAGCGCCATGCTCTACCAACTGAGCTACACGGGCCACAGACATGAGTGCAGAGGATCAACAGCCCTGTTTGAGTTAGCTGACTATACTCGACTCAACTAGTGTGGGCGGACTGGAGCTTCGACATCACATGAAATGAAGTTTTTATCAACAGAAATTCATAGTTTTTTATAAAATCGTCATTTTACGCTCATACGTGTGTTTGTCCGTGTGTGGGGGGGGGGTTCTGATGTGTGATAACAGACGTGACCGGGTGTGCAGCAGTCAGTGGCTGTCAGTTTACTGTGGATTCTCAGGCCTAATTGCATTGGTAGTGTGGATGGGAGTATCTGATAGCCTGATTTGTTATGCTTGGCTGCTCTCCCACTGGCCACCTTTCTCTGTCTCTGTCCCTGTCCCACAGGATCCACAAGGCAGAGGGAAGATGGAAACTCTTAGGCTGAGGACTATTTGAAGAACCACTGAGAATGTAACAGCATCTCTATCTCTCTACCTCAAGTCACCTCTCTCAGTCTCTTTCACTGACGGTCAAACGTCTATTGAAGTTTCCTCTTCCTAGCAGTGGTGTAAAGTACTTAAGTAAAAATACTTGAAAGTACTACCTAAGTATTTCTTTTATGGTATCTGTACTTCACTTTAACATTCAAAAGTGAAAAAAGCTGGAAAATGTCTAAAAATGCTTTTTTGTAAAGGGGTAATGATTGTTATAGTATCCTCAGTTTGACAAAATTAAATTATGTAATATGACGTGAAAAACCTTCGTTACACCATCTGACTGTGGCATCATTATACTGAATGACATACTGTGAGATTCCACATTGGATGATCCTAAAAGACTGTCTCAGCAACAAAGCAAATAGTCCGGGTAGTCATTTGATTAGCTGTTCATGAGTCTTATGGACCTAGACTTGGCGCTCCGGTACTGCTTGCCGTGCGGTAGCAGAGAGAACAGTCTATGACTAGGGTGGCTGGAGTCTTTGACAATTTTTAGGGCCTTCCTCTGACACCGCCTGGTATAGAGGTCCTGGATGGCAGGAAGCTTGGCCCCAGTGATGTACTGGGC